CCGTGGCCGCCTTTATTTCATCGGTTACAGTTTTGGAGGGAAACTGCCTCTTTACAGCTCCTTTCCGTGCTTATATATTTTAAAAGTTAATTGTGTAGTAAGGAAGTGACTGTCAGGGGCGTAAAACACCTCGAGTGAAGAGCAAGCGGCCTGATGGACGTCTGTCAAGCGGTCCAGCCGCTTTCCCCGGTAGCCCTTGCCCCAAGGAGCGTTTGATTTCCACAGTTTAGATTCTAACCGACATCTCTGTGTGCGTTGGCTCTCGGCAGAGCTCGCTGGTGGCTTCCCGAGGAAAAGTATGATTCTGTGGGGGGAGAAGGCTGGGATTTAATCCTCCCTGGTGCCTCATTCGTGTGGCCTGGTGTCTGAAACTTGTGGAAGTCACGGTTGCAGGGTCTGTAACTGTTGTTGTCTAGGATACGAGGAGGGTGCCGGGCGGGAGATGAGGGCCGTGATCACCGAGGGTTAACGTGGAAACGCTCTGTGAGATTATGCAACCCTTGCTGCAGAAAACTTGCACTCAAGGATATCTCGTAACTTGGGGGGATAGATAAACAGTCGCTCTTTGAAGTATTTTAGTCCTGTTTGAAGCAACAAGAAGACAAAAAAGTCATTTGCCCGCTGTGAGAGATCTAGTGAGATTTTGGTACAGGAGTGCACTTCCAGCGAGCGACTTCTGTGGGGAGAAGGGGAGGAGATGTCACGTTCCTGCGCCTGTCAGCATGGTCCCCTCCAGATGAAGAAGCGAATCGCTGCTGCCTCCGACCTGACTGAGCCCCCACAAGCACCGCTTCCCGAGGAAAAGAAGCAAGTCTCCACGCTGCGAACGCGACGTTCATCAAGGAGCCCTCGTTCCTCTGCTGGGACCGCAGCCCGGAGGGGGATGAGCTTCCGCAGGGAGCCGGTTGTGGCTTGGCTGTGGGAAACTGTTGCGGTGTTTCCTCTGCAAACCCAGCAGAGGGTTTAGATGTTGGTGAAGACCGAGACAAACCTTGGGACTTCCGCTGTGAGACTTTTCTTCCCTCTTCTTAGGCAAATACCATGTAAAGAACCATCAGGCGGGCAGTTGCCGGCTGGAAAACTTGACGGAGAAGTGGGAAAGTTCACAGCTGGCTGATAAAAGCCCTCAGTGTGAATAGCCTGGGCTTTTCCCAGCGCTGTCTTTTATTTCTAGATCGAGGAAATATCCCCAAATCCTCCTTCCTGATTTTTGAAGTTTTACTGAGTGATGTTTTCTACTGATAAAAGCAACTCCTGGTGCTTCACTGCAGCAAAGGCAGCATCGAGTCGGTGCTTCAAAGCATTTCTGGACATATCTCCCAAGTCATCATCCCTCAGCTGCTCTCGTAACAAATGAGAGCCAACCGCCTCTAAAGACACTCCTGTCCTTGCGTGAGCTACCAAAACAACGAGCGGGTTTGCCAGGTGCCAGCATTCCCACAGCCGAATCTCTGCTGGGGCTGCCGTGGGGAGCAGCCCACCTGCGCTTGGTGCTGCGGGATGCCAGCCCGGCTCTCCTGCCGCTCACCCAGCGCCAATCCGCCTGTTTTATCACCTCTGGTTTAAATATTTCCCCCTTGCAACTTGTTTTATTCAATGTTTGAGTTTGAACTGAGCCAGGGCTCCCTGGCTGGCACAAGCACGTGGTGTTAACTCCCACCTCGCCAGGACAGGACACCCATCTTGGACATCCCTGTGTTAAGCCGGTGTCGTATTTTAAGGATGAATGCGCTTGATGAGCATCACCTCGCTTTCCAGGGGATCTCTGGGTCCTGTGGTTTCCCCTAAATGAGTGGGAAGGGCTGATGGCAGCTTTCAGCTCCCCCACAGCTAGCCATGATCCCTTCTTTTTAGAAGGGGATGGGGATTGTGGGATCGGTATGTTGTGTAAAAATGGGGATTTTGAGTATTCAGCATGTTATAGGGCTCCGCTTTCCCTCTGCAGTGGCTATATGGGGGCTTCTCCACTCATGATGGGCTGGGAGACTTCATTTTGGGGGTTAGAGTTGCTGTTTTTCAAATGGATCAGACTTTGGGTTGGTAATGTGGTCTTTCACGTGGAGGGTGCAGGCTCTTTCTGACTGCCCTGCTGTGTCACCTGCTGCTCTCACCTTCGTTAGCTATTAGTGATGTCACGGTTTCTTTCAATACCACTTGAATCAATTGATTTCTGTAAGGCAAAGGTCGGGGAGCCTGGCAAACCCACGTTCGGTTCTTCCTCGTTTCTCGCTGGCTTCTAAACCCTTGTGCTTTGGGGTTTCAGCTGCACCATCGCCCCCCCCTCCAATGTGATTTTCATTAAGTTTGTGATTTCTGGGGCTCCCTGGTGATTTTTCCGCTCTGGAGCAGAAAGGGAATTGCCCTTGAACCCTGCAGGCCTGGGCTGCAAATCCCTATGTACAGAAAGAGTATCCTGCTGTGTGACCCGTGTCGGTGCAGAGAAAACTAATCTGAAATCAAACTGTTCTCGCAACTGCTGGGAAAAAAAAAAAAAACAACAAATGGTTTCTTTGGGCTGTTTTCCCCCTGTTTGGTATTTTTGGGAAAATAGTGGGAATAGCAGTAGCAGGAAATAAAGGAGAGACACACCCCAGGGTGATAAAGCAGCTGCCACCCCCCTTGAACCCCCCTTGTCCCCTCAAATTCTCCTTGTTTTGGGTCATTTGAGAGGCCGCAAGTTTCCTGCAGTGGCAGAGAGCATGTTTGGATTATAGCGCAGCAGGTCTGTCTGGATTAATTAAGGTTAATTAATAGGCGCGTTTCTCTCTCGCAGGCTGGTGGTAAGGCGGGCAAGGACAGCGGGAAGGCCAAGGCGAAGGCAGTGTCGCGCTCACAGAGAGCCGGGCTGCAGGTAAGGCACCACGGCGCCCGCTGGTCCCCCGATCTCATTGTGAAACCTGGATTTCGGAGTAAAACTGTCCCTTCTGGGAGGCAGGCTGTCCCAAACCATCTTTTTCTGAGGGTGAAAACTGAATGTGTGGTGACTTGTGTTGTCACTATGGAGTGACGAGGGCCTCTGGGCTCGCAGGGGCTGTTTGCTCCCAGCTGTGTCCTGGCTTGGGCAGGATCCGTCTCCTCTACGGAGAGGGTGCGAGGATTAATTTGGATAATTATGATGAAATCCCACAGGGAAATGTGTGGGGAGGATCTGCCCTCCAGTCGGTCCTGTGTCTCCCTCGGCCGCGTCCTCGTTAAAGCTCACATTGACATCCTTATAGGAGCTCCTGGAAGCCGTGGGGGGTCGCCTGTGCCAAAATCGGTGGTGTGGGGCGTAAGGATGCCGATGTATAGGGGGCTATAGGTGTTAACGAGGTCATATTGATTGCTCCCACCCCAGTTCCCAGTGGGCCGGATCCACAGACACTTGAAGACTCGCACCACCAGCCACGGGCGAGTTGGTGCCACCGCCGCCGTCTACAGCGCCGCCATCCTCGAGTACCTCACTGCCGAGGTAGGGCCCTGTGCGTCACTCCCGCCCTGCACAAACACGTCCTTTCCCTTGGGATCCCGAGCCTCTTCCTGATTTCTTGGCAGGTGCTGGAGCTGGCAGGCAACGCTTCGAAGGATCTCAAAGTCAAGCGGATCACTCCCCGTCACTTGCAGCTGGCGATCCGCGGCGATGAAGAGTTGGATTCCCTGATCAAAGCCACCATTGCCGGTGGAGGTGGGTACCGTCCTCGCCATTCCTGTCCGCAGCCAGGAATTTTAGTGAGAAGAGGGGAAAAATACAGGAAAATACATGGGAATTCCGCAGTAGTGGTAAATACTGGAGGCTCACTGCTTCCCTGGATCCGACTGAAGCGCTGGGGGTGGGGATCCATTGAACGAGAGGAAACATTTGTGCTGGGTTATTGCAAAACTCTTGCTGGGAATCGAAGATTTCTCAGAGCTTTTTGGGAAGTCTGCAGGCATCTGACAGGAATCCTCCTCTTCTCTCCACAGGTGTCATCCCCCACATCCACAAGTCTCTGATTGGAAAGAAGGGACAACAGAAAACGGCGTAGAGAGGAAGAAAAAGAAAAAGCGGCCCACTCCCTCCCGTCGTCGTACTGTACCTGGGACAGAAGAAATCTTGGGGATCCGTGGCATTTTTTTTAAGGAATAGTTCAAAGGAAGAGCATAGACAATTGACTGTAGAGAGGAGAAAACGTGGGTATGGGCTTTAGATTCAAAGTTTGACGCAAAGTTGTACCTTGTCAGGTGGCAGCAGTGGGTGTGGTGGGCGGGGGCTCGGCTGCTCCCCTGAGTTTTATACAAAAATGGAACAGATAAACCATTTTTTACAAAAAAAAAAAAAGCCTTTCCTGTGATGTCCGCGGGGGGAGGAAGGCTCTGGGGGTTGTGTGGGCTCCCTGGATCAGCGGAGGGATCCCTAGGGGTAGGGGTTAGTGTGTGGTGGGGTCCCGGCACCAGATGCAAATCTCTCTTGCTCTGTAGGTAAATATGTCTGTGTTGCTCCGCCCACTATGCAAATAGATGGTGGGGGGCGGGTCGTGTCCCAGGGCTCCGCCCCCTGACCCCACATGGCCGGGGCTCCCCCGT